ACAATTGCAGCCAAGTTTCAATGCGCATACAATGCGTCTTATCAGGCGATTGTAAATTACTGGCAAATAAACAGTTTAATCAGATTTAAAAGCAGAATACAGTCTCTTTTTAGGAAAAAAAGGGGGCAGTTATGAGATTGTGGGCTCTGCTTACATCAATTAATCAAATATGACCTACATTAAATTTAAACAAAAGAAGAAGCAAAAATTAAGAAATTATTTTCCATAAATGTGTCATGACCTGTATGTTTGAAATCAATGACAACAGACATTAAACAGGTGTGAATGTGAATGGATACATATTGTACATTTAGATGATGTCATTTTCTAATGGTAATGTAACAAAAAAAGGCTAGACAAGTTATATGCTTTGTGAGTTGTCTTACATAATAGACATTTTCATAGTTGATAAATAAATAGCTTCTTTAAGAAACCAGTAAATAATTTCAACATACAGATTTTTAATTTGATAATATGCAACTGTTGACTAAAGATCTTTTTTATATAATGTGTTAATAATAAAAACCAATCAATGCAAAATGTCAAAATACCGACCAAATGCCAATATATCCGTACAAGATGTTATAAACACTACCAGGAGATTAGTACCAAATTATATTAAATCTAAATTAATACTGACAAAAAGATAGGCCATATATGGTGCAACACAGTTCAAATAAAATCTAAGAAAAAGCAGTGTCAAGTTCCAAATCTAACTGAATTGTAAGGTAAAAATATCTTTGGTTTAATAAAACATTCTTTCAAAGAACCTGATAATTTGCAATTTTTCATGTAAACACAGAAAACAGGGTTGATAAGAAACTACATGTCCTAGCCATTTTTAAAAATTTCCATTTCACCTTATGAGTTTTATTATTGCCTTTCAAACTTCAAAAATAGAGATAGAACAAAGATAAACAAGAGATTTAGTTGAACATTTGTTTGACAATGGGCATTGGTCAGGATTCCTACAATTACATTGGCCAGTATCCTTAACAATATTCTCCTTGGAACTTGTATTATGATTCAGATTATTAAATTGGTTTAGGGTTTTTATTGTTGTGTAACTTTAAGACCTTCAATATTATTGGCACAGCTATAACTTAGTTTTAAATTGTTAAATATTTTACTAAAAGGGTTACTTTTATGAAAAAAATCATCTAATCTCATCTTACCTGGAGATATATATGCCCAGACACATATGCTTCATTGAATAATATAGATGTATTGTGTCTACTTATTTTTATACTGATCCTTTCCAGTTTTCTAATCAGTTTCTTGATGTTAAGATGAAATTCATCAAGGAAGGCACCATAGTTTTTTTTCACCCAAGTACTTTCGATCTCCTCCAAGCTCATCCTCACAGATGGATTATAAAGACAAACTTATTGTAACAATGATAAAATATGTCTATATTATTCAATGAAACATGTATATATATATATATATATATATATATATATATATATATATATATATATATATTATTCAATGAAACATGTATATATATATATTTTTTTTTTTGTTCATCCCAAGTAAGGTAGTAAAGCCACAAAGACAAGTAGCTACTAGGTGTTGAAGTGTTAGAAAAGAGAAACACTAATAATGAGCAAGAACAAAAGAAGAGTACCCAGCAGGACAGTAGATATCAATTGACATTACATTTAAACTTTTGAAGATCAAAGTTGGCTGGAAGGGTGTTCCACAAGTGGGAAGAAAAACTGTTAGCATAGAAATTACAGTTTACATCTAGCCAGATTTCATGATACCTCATTGCCAGTCTAGTACTGTGCTTCAATTCATGAAGTCTAGGTACCATAGAAAAAAGCTCATCCAAACAATTATGATGAAAGTGTTTATAGAGAAGTCAAACAGAGGCAACTTTAGGGCAGTAGGAAAGTGACTGAAACCAAGACACCATCAAGACACATCAGGACTAATAATATTACTTATTGTTTGGATTTTATCAAGGATCTCTAGATATATAGCAGGAGCATCAGACCATATAATTCTAAGTATGGGCAAATGGTAGCCTTACAGATATGCAAGATAGATTCTGGATAGAAAAATTGTCTAGCATGACACAGTAAACCAACTTTTTTAGCAGTTCACCTAGCAACAGATTCAATATAGTCTTTCCATTTCATGTCATTCAAAAATGGAAGGCAGAAAGGGGTCAGTCAGATGATTAATAGAGAGCAGCTTACTTTTGGAGATGTTAAAATCCCCAAGTAATCCATTGCCCCAGTTAACAACAGACTGAAGTTCATTTTGGATATCAACTGCCATTTTGACCTAATCAAACTGATTAGACTTACTATCGAAATAGGAGTAAATGGTTGTCATCAGCATAGATTCCAAGTTGAGAGCTGATGCCATCAGGAACGCCATTAATGAAAATTAAAAACAAATTAGGACCAAAGATGGAGGCCTGGCAGACACCTGCATTAGTATGAAATGATCTGGAAGAGTGGCCATTCTGGAAAACTTTCATTTCATGATTTGATAGGAAGACTGGATCAGTACAAAAATTTATCAAGAGACACTGTGACTTTTCAACTTGTAGAGAAAACCTGTCAATGGCTTTCAAGATGTCCAAATCTACAGCCTGGGCTTCACCATTCTTATCTAAAGCCTCATAGTCTCTTTCTGGAATTATTGTCAATATATCAAGCAATTGAACTTGAAAAATGAAAGCAAAAGAAAAATTTTGTCTGAAGAAAGACCCTGTAATGTGAGAAGCTTAAACAATTCAGCATTGATTAAGGATTGTAAGAGTTTCCAAAAAAAGTCATAGAAGGCTAATAGGCAGATAGTTGGAAGAGTCAGACAGTTCCCCAGAGTTCTTAAAAACTGGAACAACAGATGAGGACAGACAGGAAAGCAAGAGGCATTTATTATACAGTTTAGAGAGAACAGGAGCCAGTTCAGGAGCACACATCTGAATGGCTACTACAGGGATACCATCAGGTTCACAAGTTTTGTGGGGATCCAGGTTAGAGATAATAGCAGAGGCCTCAAAAGAGGTTATATGCATATCACTCGATAGAGACTGTTCTAAGTGGGAAATTAGAGACATTCCAGATGAGTCAAGAGCGGAGTTTAATGAAAATTTATGCGTGAAACATTTAGCTTTATCAGCAGAAGATATTAACACCTCAAATTGATTGAAGAGAGGAGGAATATAGAAATTACATTTATTAATACAGTGACTCATTCTCTCAGCAAGCAGGGACTTAGCTCCTTTGAGGACTTGTTTAAATTTATGAGTAGCAAAAAATAGACATTTGTTGTGATGGGAGCTGTCATGCTGATATAGCCGGAAATAGTGATTCCTGTGGGCTATAGTTGCAAGGCATACATATGTGAACCATGGAGAAGATTGAGGTTTCACCTGGTATTACCAAGAAGGAATGAAAGTATTTATGCTAGTTTTGACTCAAAAGGAAAACACAGGGGCACAATTCTCAAATTGAAGGTTAAAAATATCAGTCCAAGCAGCATCTTGAAGAAAAGCATGAAATGAGTCCCAATCAGCATGCTGGTAATGGAAAGAGGTCTTATGAATAGGAAGTTCCTGTTTAGCAGGTGATTGGAATGAAATATCAGTAGATATGACAGAGTGATCAGAGTTTCCAAGTGGATGGTGTTGTGACGCTTGGCAAAAGCTAGGAGAGAAGGTAAGAAATAAATCAAGTAGAGAAGCTCGTTGCTCAGATTTGCTATGGAAATGGGTAGGGAAATCCATGATTTGAGGAAAGGACTGAACAATGGAAAAATTTAATGTCTGAAGACCAGCAACATCAACAGCATTGAAATCACCAAAGATGAAGATGATCACAGATGAATGGAGACAGAGTGCTGTTTCTGTACTGCAGAGATAATGTCTAATATACTGCACTCCCGAGAAGAGGGAGAACGATAAAGGAAAATGAGATACTGATATGTCTCGGAAAGGGATATATTTGTCTGAAGTAGCAAAGTGGTTTTGGACTACTGTGACCGAGTAGGACAATCTAGCAGGTAACCGTAATGCACTGGTCCTCGTCGTAGTGGTAGGCAATAGATGAAAACTATAGGCATGCGGACGATATATATATATATATATATATATATATATATATATATATATATATATATATATATATATGCAGAGAGCTATAGATAGATACAAAAATGCATGATAATACCGCATAGACAAACTATATTTATAATGCACATACACATATGAATTATACAGATGAACACTGCTTGACAAGACTGATGCACGTGATTTCTGCTTAACCAATAAAAACAAGCAACACAAAAATTAAAAATATCAGAATTTTCTTTTTCGCTTCCATATTTCATTCTCTAATAAAGCTTTAATAAAACGAAACATGCTAGATTTATAAACGCTTCCTATTTGTTCTTTATTCAATTCTATTTTATATATATATATATATATATATATATATATATATATATATATATATATTGTTGGTGTTATATCCGTTGTATGTCTGGAATTTCTCGGCGAAAGAGATTACATACTGAGTTGAAATTAAAGTTTTTCTTTGGTAACGAGCGTCATTGACCCAAGGGAGACGATATTACAGTAGAACATTAACCATGCGGAAGCCGTACGAATTCAGAAACACCCACAAGTGTTGACAATTTCCTTTTTATGGGATTAACAGAAAATTGAAGTCTAAAATTGAAATAAAAAAAAAGAAAACGAAAAGAGGACGATCTGTTTTAAAAATAAACATTTTTTAACACTAGATATTTCTATCAATATTGTCAAAAGTTTTAAATAAAATATATTCTAAATATGAAAACAGTTAAATTCCACCTCCCTACTTTCGGGGGGCAAAATCAGTGTTATCGCCGGACATGTGTTGATTGGGATTTCACACGAAAAATTGGCTTCGAGGGGAGACGGCGGGGTTAGAAGGCTCTGCTGGTAAACATATTACCCCTTTACACCAGTTGTTCTATGAACACGGGCAGATTTCAGAATGGAGAGGTTTGGAAGGAGCCCAGGTTGTGTTCCTCTTTCTGTTAAAATCGTTAGTTTTTTCACCTTTTATTTTTTTACTTTTTTTTTTGAGTGCTGGTTTTTCCCGTGGTTTGAAGAAATATGGTTACCAGTTTACAGAGAAGCTCGGCACAACGTCCATCCTGTTAAATCAATTATTTTTTTTTCTTCAACGGTCATGTTTGCAATTGGGTGGGAGTTACGGGCTGGTTGTGTTGCACAGTCAAATGAACTACGTATTCCGTAAATGTATTAGTTGTAAAGACTCTGCATATGTTATTAGGATCATTATAAAAAAACATCTGTTGGTTTGAAAACGATATCTATCTATCTATCTATCTATCTATCTATCTATCTATCTATCTATCTATCTATCTATCTATCAGTTTAGTTCGCAAGTGAGATAGATATATATAATTTTCAAGCCAGTGTTTTTGGAAAACGGTATATATATATATGTATATATATATCAACAAACAGTATTTAGAAAATCCTGACGGATGAAACGCATCACAAGAAATTTTCCAGTTTGTCATATTTTTCTAAACACACACACACACACACACACACACATATATATATATATATATATATATATAGAGAGAGAGAGAGAGAGAGAGACAGAAAAAGAGAGAGAGATGGGATCAAATATATTGTTCTTTATCTTATCATATATATATATATATATATATATATATATGATTTTACAAAAACACTGTTTTGAAAATGATATCTATCTATTTGTTTTGCAAGTGCGATACATACATACATACATACATATCGTTTTCAATTTGGTGATTTGGGACAACGATATCTATACGTATATAATTTTACCAAAAAAATAAACAAACAAACAAACAAAAAAAAAACACCATCTATCTATCTATCTATCTATCTATCTATCTATCTATCTATCTATCTAAGGGGTGTTGAAAAGTTATCGGCTCAATCCACAGATCGAACATTGAAGATTTCATGGCTATAGTTTCTACCATTTACCATTTACATGTTGTTATACATTTTAAAGGTTTCTTTTTACATTTGTATTGTACAATATACGTGTGCTTTTGGGAGTATTTCGCTCATTTTAGTGAAGAACCTATTGCTAAACGATATATGTTTATTGATATCTGCCAAGTGGCAGGTGAACCTGCTCGATAGTGTAGTGGTTGTGTGTATGCAACAATTACATTGCTATCCGTAAGGTGGCAGATTAACTCGCGGGAAAAAAATGTAGTTGTTTTGTATATTAGGTAAGAAGCAGGTTGCTTTGTCTAGTTTATCGTTTAGGTGGATTTCTTTGTTGGTTTCAGTTTTCCAGGCCGATAACATCTGAAAATTAACTCCATGATCAATAGTCTATGGTGAGATCTGAACCCGGGTCTCATGGTCAGAAAACGGGCGTTAATGCATTATTTAAACAAATTAAGCGTAAATAATCAAAAGTGCATTTTTTTTTTATAGTCACCTGTCACTTATATTCCTGCAAACTAAGACTGATTTTATTTTTTTGCCGCCTTTTATTAACTGGAGTTAACTTTAATATATAAAAAAGAAAAAAAAATCATTTTATTGGTTTCATTGTCGGCAGAAATGGCGGCATTTTTTTCTCAGCTAAATTATTCAATGCCATCTACATCATACTAAAAAGAACATTCACCAATAAAAAAAAGTTGTGGAGAGCCATGATCCCCTACAAGAATTGCGTTGCAGTAGAATAGGTCTATTGATTTTATTACATTCTAGAATATTGTCGAGATTATTTCCGTTATAAATGATTATCGATGACACAGGAAATCTAGTGTCTGCCGGGCTTACGGCCACATCACGTTAAAACACCGATTTCTGTACGATCACTGAAGTTAAGCAACATCGAGCCTGGTCACTACCTAGTTGGGCGACCGCTTCGGAATTGTAAGCTTGGATGTGTGGGTTGTGTAATGGATATTGGCTCGGAATTGTTAACTGGAGAGTCGAGTTTCATTGTATTACTTACGTGTAAATATCCTTAGGAAATCCACTTCATCTCTTCCAGCTATGGATTAATTAACAAGATTTGTATCTCTGAACCATTATTATCTCCAAAAATGAAATAAAAATTGTGTATAAAAATATTTAGATTTTGGCATTAAATAACCCCTAGAGGTGTCGATATGCCGCTAAACAAAAACAACCAACCAATTGTTTGCGAGTGTTTGACATTATCAAGTTTGTAGAATCCAGTATGAGAAGAGTATATATATATATATATATATATATATAATATATTGCACATATATTTCTGGTGTTAAGAAAATAGTGCTCGATGTAATACAATAAAGCTATTAGGTATATATATTAATAAATATACATATTATCCCTCACCGATAGCCCGAGTTTCATGCACAACGCAATCATCAGATGCTGATTATAGATTGGCCGTTACGTAATTTAAATTTTAAAAATATATCTGTATATCGTAATGTTGGCGTAGGTATATGTTATACTGGGATTACAGTCTTTTAATTTTAAAAATTATATTTGGCATTTAGAATAAACAGGATGTGTATATATATGTATATATTTAAATTGTGTATATCTTGCGGTATGTTTTCATTAAGACGTCTCATTGAATAATTTAGACAATTTTTCTGTAGTTATTTTAAATAAGATCTTCTCATAATTACGGACAAGTTTCTTAGTATCCTTATTAAACGAAGAAAGAAAATTACCATGTTGATGCATATTCATTTTATTCTGAGTACTTTCATCATCAGGGTCTTGCAGTTTCTAAGAGAAAATATTGTTGTGTTCATTTTTCTAACACAAAATGGTTGTGCGCATCTGAAATTTAAATTTTTACTTGTGAAGTGAAAAAACGCTAAGGTTATGTACTGTACAATATTTAAATTTTACAATGTAAACACACGTGAAAACATAAATAAGTTATTGAAAGGTCGAAATATATATAAAAAAAACTATTTAAACTATTAGTTAAATCCTAGGTATAATGTAGAATTGTGTGTCAGAAGAGAGAAGTATATATATATATATATATATATATATATATATATATATATATATATATATATATAGATAATCCCTATACAGCAAGCAAACTTACCTAGGTTTACCTAAACGGATCTTAAGTGTAATCCTAGCTACCCTGAAGATCCGTTTAGGTGAAACCCAGGTAGGTTTGCCTGGCTCCTTAGGATTATCTTAGGTTTTGCCTCTACTTAGTGTATTGAGCACTTTACGTAGTTGATTTTTACTCGTTTTGGTTTTGTTTTTTCTTTGGACTTGGAGCTTAAACACTGGACGATTAATGTTCTTGGTTCTTTTTTTTTTTATTCCCTTTTTCTTCGGGTACCGATTCTACTGCAAGTTGAACTATCCGAAGTTTTTCCAAGCGAGTACCACTATATATATATATATATATATATATATATATATATATATATATATATATATATATATATATATGTATGTTTATGAAAGGTGCGGTTATTGGTATCAACCATGACGTCTAAGAATTTCTATTTTTGATACTAAGTTTGTTAAGTGGAGTGAAGGACCAATTGCTATTGTTTTCGAATGCGCATATGATTTCTTTTTTATTTCGTCGAGAATAAAAATACCATTGTAACCGGCGTAGATGGTAGGTTTAGCGAGTTTTTTTGGATACAGTCTTTCATAAGTGTTTCGAGAATGTAGGCTTCAGTGGTGATCCCATTGGCTCGCCGCCACTTTGGATGTAGATGCTGCCTTTGTGGTCATAGAAAGGGACACGTCTGTTCGTAACAATGTATTAGAATATTGGAAAGGTGAAACGTCTACATAAACTTGGATTTGAAAATAACCAGAGGCATGTTTGGAAGTTCCTGATCACCAAAATAGTGCATTCTCTTGCATACAAGCAAAAAAAAAAAAAAGTAACTAAAACGAAAACATTGTCTATCGTTTTTCAAATATATATATATATATATATATATATATATATATATGAATACAAAGAGACAAGAGGAAAAATTATACTTAGCCGGCGTGTTTCATCATCTGCAATGAAGGATTTATATAGGATTTATAATAAATAGGATTTATGTAGGATTTACTATAAATCCTACATTGCATAGATAAAGTCCCTCAGAGGGCGAAACGCGTCGGCTAAGTAGAGTTTTTCCTCTCGTCTATATTTATTTTGTCTCTTCTACAGATGCACTCCATCTGAGAATATATATATATATATATATATATATATATATATATATATATATATATCCTCTTATTTTCTATTTGTTTGAACCGGGTTCTAATGCTCTAGAGTGAGCGGCTTGGAGATAGTAATCGTGGCTTGTGGGGGCACAGTCCTATGGGTAAAAGAGATACTGGGATGAGTTCCACCATGGAATATGCTATCGAACGGCGCTATATCGAGTCTGATTCGCTACCTCTTCGTCACCGACGCCTGTTGGCGCAGTTGGTATGACATTTGCCTGATAACCTGTCAGGGTTTCAATTCTCGGTAGTGGATGCGCACTGCTGATGAGTCCCAAATAAAAGACGAAACGGCCGTCCAGTGCTTTCTGCATTCTGTGGAGGTTTCTTCTCGTCTCGATGAATTACCTAATTATAATTATCTCAAATCCACCTAATTTCTATCACATACATATATATATATATATATATATATATATATATATATATATATTTATATAAAAACACAGACTACTGCTGAAAATTTCTCGGCCCGACTCGTTTCCCAAAAACCATGCATTAAAAAGTGTTCCTTTATATTGTAAAGTGCCAGTTTGCAGGATTCGGTCACTTATTTTATTTACGTTCTTCACTGAACCATATCAGAGGGAAGAATAGAATCCAAGCCGTCATTAAAAGTTTTCTTGCAGATCAATGTTCCACAGGAAATCTTTGAGTCTATGATGCAAACATTCGGTCACAAGTATCTGTTAGATTCAACTAGGGTCCTGGGTATGACGATAAACTACATCCAGCCGCAACGCATCTGATGAGGAGGTTTCAAGGAGCATGTAACCACCTCTTAATTGCTGTTGATTCCAGGTGCACCCTGACCTGGTTGTGGTAGCACCTGTTAGGGTCTCAAATATGGGGAAATAGTTAACACCCAAAATGTGGCCAAAAGACTATGGAAGTATAAAAATACATTTTCATAGTAAAAATAACAGCAATACATTTTCATAGTAAAAACAAAAAATAACAAAGCTCCCAAGAAAATTAAATTTCGGCATTAAATGACCCATAAGGATGTTGATATGTTGTTAAGCAAACAAACAAAACATTTGCATCTTACTGGCTTTATTGGCTTGCTTGGGGGCGAAATGATTGAAAAGGAACTTCGCTAAGCAGAAGGTGTCACCCAAGTGAATCTCAAAATATTTGAATGCTGACCAGAAACGATGTCACGTAGACAACACAATGTTTATTTTACATCATTTTCAGGAAAGAAGAAATGGCGGCGGAGGGAAAAGAAAGCAAGAAGCGTTTCTGATCATAAGACCAACGAATGTGTTCGTTTTTTTTTTTTTAAGCAACGCTTCATATGAAAGGAAACTTTTCTTGTTATTACTTACCTGGTAAGACAAACTGTTCGTTGAGAATGTGGATCTTTCCGCGTGGTGGACCTAAGTTGGAAAAAAAAAAAAAAGACGAGCATGCTGTCTGTTCTTTTTCGTATAGTCTTGGTTAAGGAGGAAGTGACGTAAGTCGTTAATGATTGGTCGCTTGTAATTTCAAGATCAGCAGTGGCAGTTACTTAATGTGTCCATTTGTTGCGTGCTTGCCGATTTTTTTTGTTTCAGGATCGCCTGCCGGAATAGTACTTTTTCGGTAGGGTCTCTTGGGCACACGTTGGAGTGTTTTCATGACAAATTATATATATATATATATATATATATATATATATATATATATATATATAT